CTTAGAAATGTTTGTGAATGCGAAAAAAAAATGTATAAATGAAATGATAAATGTACATGGTTTTCGGTTCTTTTATTCTCTAGGAATAAAATGTTTCCATTAGTGGTTCCAAATCTAAATATTTTTGCAAAAATAACTCGCTAATAGTTTCAAATTCATGTGGATCTTCTGCTTCTTGTGTGGCTGTTAGCAAAGGCTATTTGGATGAAGCTTTATTACCACCATAATTAATATTATTATTGTTATTGTACAGATAGGGTATAATATGCGGTTCTATTTCAAGCGTCTGCTTAAGTATAGAACTCATAACAAATTCAGTCGATACTATGGGACATTTGGGATTACCAAAACGTGTTAGATCCACACATAAATGCATGTCATTGGGACATGTTACTATTATATAAGATTCGGGGGATTGGTTATGTGTTTCTGCTATAGCCTGGGAAGAGCGACGTTTCTCTTCTACCTTACCGCCCGAGGATTCAATCATGCGTACTACTTCGGAACGAGCAGGGAAAACATCGGGTGTAACATAGAAATAGCGACCGGCAAATAAAGTAGAACGTGTGTTAGACTGTAATACCGTGTCCAAATGGAATTTAAGATTTTCATCTACAGGTATATATTGTATTTTATAGTTTTCGGGAGGTAGAAATTTGCCCGCTTTAGCACTCTCCACAACCCATTGGGATTTGAGAACATAATCAACATGACACACCGCTTGTATAAGTTTACAGGTACGACTTTCACAAGTCATTACCAAGTAGGTGGCGTCCGAGGGATTGTCTACCACAATACCGCCCAGAGATCTGTAGTAAAAGTTTTATTAGATTTGTGTGTTTAATGTGTTTTTGCATTTTACTTACAGTACAGCCTTTTTGAGTGATTCCGGATCAGCTACTTGTGAAAATAATACTTTTGGCGGTTTAGCAGTTTGTGGATATTCCACACAGACTATGGTTTCGGGTAATTCTTCTTGATAGGGTGAAATCTTTTGTCTTTTGGCCTTTTCATAATAGGGATCGGCCAAATATCGTTTAACACGTTCATGTGCATCTTGGGTAAGATTGATGGGAGCTTTCCAGGCAGCTAAAAAGGAAAAAAAATATTTTTAAGAAAATTTATCGATAACATAAGTTTTTTGTAGAAAATTTATCGATAACTTTAATTTTCTATAGAAAATTTATCGATAACTTTAATTTTCTATAGAAAATTTATCGATAACTTTAAATTTCTATAAAAAAATGTTCGATAACATGGATTTTCTATAAAAAAAGTTATCGATAGCATGAATTTTCTATAAAAAGTTTTCGATAACATGGATTTTCTCTAAAAAAAGTTATCGATAATATGAAATTTCTATAAAAAGTTATCGATAACAAAAATTTTCTATAAAAAAGTTATCGATAACATGATTTTTTATGGATAATTTATCGATAACTTTAATTTTATAAAGAAAATGTATCGATAACTTTAATTTTTTTAAAGAAAATTTATCGATAACTTTAAATTTCCATAAAAAACATGAAGTTTTTTTAGAAAAGTTTTCGATATATTTAATTTTATAAAGAAAATTTATCGATAACTTAAATTTTCTACAGAAAATTTATCGATAACATACATTTTTTAAAGAACATTTATCGATAACCTGAATTTTCTACAGAAAATTTATCGATAACATAAATTTTTTAAAGAACATTTATCGATAACCTAAATTTTCTACAGAAAATTTATCGATAACATAAATTTTTTAAAGAACATTTATCGATAACTTAAATTTTCTAATCAAAAGTTATCGGTAAAATGTATTTTCTTAAAAAATTATATAACATGAATATTCTATAAAAAAGTTATCGATAACATAATTTTTTTATTGAAAATTTTTCGATAACTTTAATTTCTACAGAAAATTTATCGATAACTTTAATTTTCTATAGAAAATTTATCGGTAACATAATTTGTTTAAAGAGCAATTATCGATAACATAATATTTCTCAACAAAATTTATCGAAAACTTTAAATTTTCTATAAAGAGTTAACGATAATATTAATTATATAAAGATAAATTACCGATAACTTAAATTTTCTATAAAAAAGTTATCGATAACACAAATTTCGTATGAAAAATTTTCGATAACATGCATTTTTCATAGAAAATTTATCGATAACTTTAATTTTCTGCAGAAAATCGGTAACATAATTTTTTTAAAGAAAATTTATCGATAACATAAACTTTTTAAACAAAATTTATCGATAACATTAAAATTCTAAAGAAAATTTATCGAAAATATGTATTTTCTTTAAAAAAAATTATCGATAACATGAATTTTTTTCACAGAATTTATCGTTAACATTAATTTTTAAATAAAATTTATCGATTACATTAATATTTTTAAGAAAATTTATCGATGACGTGAATTTTTTTATAATGTACCGATAACATAATTTTTTTCAAAGAAAATTTATCGATAACAATAATTTTTTCAGATATTTTATCGATAATATGAATTTTTAATGAAAATTTATCGTTATTTTGTTCGATATTTTTAATTTTAAAACATTGAATTTTCTCTAGAAAATTTATCGATTTTTTAAAATTTTGTCTAAAAATTACTGAAATATATCTGGCAACTCTAAAATCTTTTCCACTTACCCATCAAATGCGGCACCAGACCATAATCAATACGGAATGGCGGTGTTATATTATACTGTTGATACTTTTGATTGTCATACTGTGACATTGAACTCAAATTGCCTATTGTGATATCACTCAACCACAAAGAATTGACCACCGGTATATTCCATTCTTTGGCTGCATTAAACATTTCACCCTCCAGTTTTTTACACACCAAGACGGTATGTAATTTGGATAAATAAGAAGTATAAATAGCGCCACACTCTTGGACCATTTGTTTAATACGATGTTCCTCTTCGGGTTCATAACCATTGGCAGCTATGATATGCCGTTCCAGCGGTTTCTGATAGCCAAACTGTGAGGGAAAGGGTAGATGAAGAGGTTGCCAGGGTGGTAATTGTTTCTTCAGACAAATATCACTTAACCAGTAAGCGGTAATGCAACGTTTAGCATCGCGTAGAGCCTGCATGACAACACCATGTCTTTGGGTGCGACACAGGACATGGGTAACACGTGGACAATAGTTCTTTTCTATATCACCACCAAATTGTCTAATAGTTTCCATCCATATAGGTAATTCTTCACCATCGGTTTCTTCATATTCCTCTACTATGTAAAAAGTGCAGCCGACTAGGAATAGATCAGGTGGCAGTTTTAAATTTGGATTATGACCGTAGAATTGAGGACGTGGCGGCATGGGCAGTTGAGTAACCCGGCCCTGGTGTACATAGCCGGCTGGTGTCATAACACCAGCGGGTACAGCAGTTCCAGGAGCTGCTACCACTTGCTGCTGAATTGCACCACCACCACTGCCAGGAGCGGCAGCAGCAACTACCAATTGTTGTTGAACAATCTGTTGTTGCTGCTGCACAGCTTGTTGTTGCTGCTGTTGTTGCACAGCCTGTTGTGGTGGTACACCAGCGGCAATAATATTGTTAACAGCTACTGGACCTGTGGCCGACATTTGGGTCTGTAAAATGGGTCTACGCATTTGTTGTTGCTGCTGTTGCTGTTGTTGCTGCTGTAGTAGCAATAGTTCCTGCTGAGTGCGTGGAACTCCCACAACACTAGAAACAGTAGCACCAGCAGTCGTAGCACCAACTTGTTGTGCAGGTTGCTGCAAAGAAGCAGCATTATGCTGTTGAGTCATCATGCGCAAAGTGCCAGCAGCACTAGCCTCCACTACTTGCTGTTGTTGTTGGGTTTGCATAGCATTCATTACGCCCTGTTGGTTTAATTGTTGCTGCTGTTGTTGTTGTTGTTGACCCATTAACAATTGCTGCTGCGTCTGCTGCTGCTGCTGTTTTGTTGCTGCTGCAACTGTTGAGGTCCTGCTACTACAACTTGTGTTTGTTGTATTATTTGTGGTTGCTGTTGTGACATTGTCTGTTGCTGCTGGTTAGGATCTTGCATTTGTATTTGTTGTTGCACTAGCGTCTGTTGCTGTACGCCAGCAATTTGCGTTTGCATCTGCATAGCATTGCTGCTTCCACCCAAACGATTGCTTAACATGTTGGCAAGGGCCGTTTTAGTTTTCAAATTCATTTGTTGTTGTGTTTGTTGCAGATTACCGGGCTGTTGTTGCTGCTGCAGCTGTTGACCATCCATGGTAGCAGTGCCTTGATTGGGCATGAGTACTGTTTGTGGAGCTAAGGCAGTAATTATATTGCCCGTACCTATAGGAAAGGAATTTTTAGTGAATATCTAAATTTCTGTCAAAGATCGAATCTTTATTAAAAGATCCGAAGTTTCGAGAAAATTTTATAGAAAAAGTTATCAACAAAATTTCTAAAAAAAAAATTAAATAAACATCGATAAATTCTAAAAGATCAATAACTTTTTAAAAAATATTGATACATTTTCAATAGAAAATTGAAAATATTGATAAATTTCCTATAGAAAATTCATGTTATCGATAAATTTTCAATAGAAATTCATGTTATCGATAAATTTTGTATATAAATCATGTTATCGATAAATTTTCTATAGAAAATTCATGTTGTCGATAAATTGAATGATCACATCTTTGATGAAAGATCGGAAAAAGTAATACTCTCTTACCTTGTTGTCCTTGTATAGTCTGGCCAATCTGTTGAGCCCCCGCCGGCTGTGAGTGTATTATAGTTTGCTGCTCTATAACCTGACCACCCGGGACCGGTAATAACCTGTACCGTTTGCTGAGGCTTTTGACCCAACATTTGTTGTTGCTGCTGTTGTTGTTGTTGTTGTTGTTGTTGTTTGCTGTTGCCAATTGTACTCTTAGCTGTTGTCTTTGCAACAACATCTGTTGATTGGGATCATTGGGGTTAAACACCTGCTGTTGAACATTGTGTTGCTGCTGCTGTTGTTGTAATTGTTGTTGTGTTATACTGACCGGAGTACCACCAGCAGTAATAACTTGTTGCTGAGCAATGGGTGTAAGGACCAGGAGCTCGATTTCCCGCTGTTCTAACCACAACCTGTCTTTGTTGCTGCTGTAACCATTGCATTGTTGTTTGTGCGTTAGACCTGCCGGCATTTGACTTTGAACTATGATGTGTTGTGTGGTGGGACCAGCAGGTCGGGGTGTTGTACCTAGAGCACTGGCTACTACATTGGGAGCTCCTGGTCTAGGCTGATAGGCCACTTGTTGTCTAACCATTACCCTTTGTTTAGATTGCTGTAGTTTTTGAAATGTATTCAGCCCGTTTTAATGGGATCCAGAGACATGAAATGAGCATGGGTTTTATCGTCCAGCTGTATGAGTTGTCTTTGTGGTTGAGGAGTGCCAGGTGGTAGACCTTGTTGTTGCCACTGTCCAGCAGGGCGTACTGTACGTATGAATTGTGGCTGTTGCTGCTGGGGTTGTTGTTGCTGTGGTATGATTTGTTGAATTTGTGATTGTTGTCCCTGCAGGGGGGATTGTAGGCCGGTTATGGAGCCTGGGGTTCCTGGTTGTTGTTGCTGTTGTTGCTGCTGAGCCGGACTTTGTGGAGACCAATGTGTTTGTTGTGGCTGTGTTTGCTGCTGAGGAGATTCTTGTTGTATTAGAATTTGTTGTTGATGCTGTTGTGTTAGCTGTTGCTGCTGCTGTTGAGGAGATTGTGGAGTGGGAGTTTGTTGGTTTAATTGCTGTTGTTGTATTAAAACTGTTTGCTGTAAGGGCTGTTGTTGCTGCTGCTGTTGTTGTTGTGGTAAGATAATTTGTTGTTGTTGCTGTTGGTTGTCTATTAGTTGTTGGTGCATTTGTAATTGTTTTGCTGTTGTACCAGAATTTGTTGTTGTTGCTGCTGTTGGGGACTTTGTAGTATGGATTGTTGTTGCTGTTGTCCTTGCACTAGTTGCTGTGGTATGGTTTGTTGTATGATAATTGGTTGCTGTTGTGGTTGCTGTTGAGGACTTTGTTGCAATATTTGTTGTTGTACTATTTGCTGTTGCACTGGTTGTTGTTGAGGTCCTACAACAATAGCATTGGGAGCTTGCTGCTGTTGCTGCATTTGTTGTTTTTGCTGAAACTGTAATTGTTGTTGCTGTTGCAAATATTGCAAACGTTGAGGATTATTAATTATCTGTTGATTAATAACAATTTGCTGCTGCTGTTGTTGAGGGGAAACATTGGGTGTTTGCTGTTGCTGCTGCAATAAGATACGTTGCTGCTGTTGTTGTTGTTGCTGCTGCTGCTGAGGAGATTGTAATAGATTACCCTCCAAATCTAATAATTGCTGTTGTGTTTGTGGTTGCTGCTGTTGCCTTTGAGCATATAAAGGAGGTGGTTGCTGCTGTTGTTGTTTGATAAGTTGATTGGGATTTTGTGCCACCTGCTGTATAATTTGTTGTTGTCCTACTTGTTGTTGATGCTGCTGCTGCTGCTGTTGTTGCTGCTGCTGCTGCTGTTGTGTTACGTTTGTTTGATTAACTATGAAAAAGTTTTGATTTTGTTGATTTTGCTGTAAAATCTGTTGCTGTTGTTGGGGTGTTAACTGATTAAATTGCTGCTGGCTAATAATATATTTCGGCTTATTGGGTGTTTGAGGAGTTTGAGCCACACCCACATTGGCGTTAAGTACCTGCTGCAATTGTCCCGTTTGTTGTTGTTGTTGTTGAGGACTTTGCAATTGTTGTTGTGTTATGATTTGCTGTTGTATTTGTGGTTGCTGTTGCAATTGAGTTTGGCGCTGTTGCAAAATTTGTTGTGTTTGTTGTTGTTGGGGTTGTTGTGCGCCCGGGAAACCCGGTTGTGCTTGTATAGTTTGTTGTATAATTCTAACACCTCCGGGGCCTGTTACTGTGCTGATATTAGAAGCATGTGTTGCTGTTGTTGGGGAGCGGACGTGGGACTGGCAAATTGTAATTGCTGTTGGTTGGGTTGTTTGCCAAAGTTTGTTGCTGCTGTTGCAATTGTTGCTGTTGTTGTAACTGTTGCTGCTGCTGTTGTTGTGGTATTATAACTTGTTGTTGTATCTGTGTTGGTTGCTGTTGCTGCTGTTGAGGTGATATTAAACCAGTTTTTTGCTGCAAAATCTGTTGCTGTTGTTGTTGCTGTAATTGTACCATTTGCTGTTTTTGTTGTTGCTGCTGTTGCTGTTGTTGATGAATATTCATCATATGACTTTGTATAATTTGTTGACCCTGAGCTGTTGAAGTATTAATCACTTGTCTTTGAGCAGCATTTCCCTGTTGTTGTTGCTGTTGTTGAACACCACCACTACTCTGTTGTTGACTTACAGGACTTGTTATTAGTTGTTGTTGCTGTTGTTGTTGTTGTTGCTGCTGCTGTTGTTGTTGCAATTGCTGTTGTTTTAACTGTTGTGTTCTCATAATGAGTGACTCATGATTTGGACTTGGTGCTGAACGACTTAATATCTGAGCCACTTGTACTGGGTCTGTAGGATCAATGGGTTTTTGATTTGAGATCAATTTAGATTGTTGTTGATGTAGTTGCGGAGATGGTGGTGCCGATGGAGAGGCCCTATGTTGGGGAGATTGTTGCTGCTGCTGTTGTTGCTGCTGTTGCATCTGCTGCATTTGTAGTTGGACTCGTTGGGGCTGTTGGAAGGGTTGGGGGGACATTAAGTGTTGTGGAGACTGAAATTGAATAAAATTATTAGGGGATTATTGGATTTATATTTAAAATATTCGTTTGTTTTTTAATTTTGAAAATGTTTTTTAGTGAAATTTAAAATTTTCAGTGAAAATTTACAAACTCACCTGCTGTTGCCTTTGTTGCGGCTGTCTACCTTGCTGCAATTGCTGTCTCAATTGTTGCTGCGACAAAAGGGTACTTTGCGTTTGCATACCAACAACCGCTCCAGGTGATTGAGGAGGCGGTGGTGGTGTCATTTGTGGTGCAGGGGATTGTAATTGTCTTGGTGATTGTGGTGGCATCATAGCGTGAGCGAGACCACTACCAGTTGAGGGTGTATTGTTACTCAAAGATGGTGAAGGAGCTTGGGGAGCAGGAGAGGGATTTTGCTGCATTCGAGGTGATTGCTGCTGCATTTGTAATTGTTGCTGCTGTTGTTGTTGTTGTTGCTGCTGCTGCTGCTGTTGTTGCAATTGTAATTGCTGTTGCATTAGCTGTTGTTGTTGATGTTGTATTTGTCGTTGGAGTGCCTGTTGGTGTGGTGATAAACTTTGACCGTTTTGTATTTGTTGCTGTAATTGTTGTTGTTGCTGTTGCAAATTTTGCTGTTGTCTAAGGATGTGTTGATGCAGCATCTGGGGTGACATGGTTATGGTTTGTTGTTGGGGCTGTTGTTGTGGTTGTTGATTCTGTTGCATTTGTTGGGATTGTGGACTAGGCTGTTGTTGTTGTTGTGGGGTATTGTTGTGTGCAGCTTGATGTGAAGGTGACATTTGTATTTGTTGTACACTATGCTGCGGGGATTGTCCTAGCATTTGTTGTTGGGGTTGTGGTGTGGTAGAGGGTGTTCTGGGTGCCTGTGGCGTTTGTCTGCCACTGTTTGGTTGTGGTGTTCTGGGTGGCTGTGGTGTGCCGGTAGGTGTGGGAGTACGTGATTCTAGTAGAGGAGTATTTGAAGAGGTGGGGGTTTGTGGTGTTCTGGGTTGTTGCATTAATTGATGCTGGAGTTGTATATTTTGCTGTTGTTGCTGCTGCTGTTGTTGCTGATGTTGTAGTTGGGAAAGAGTTTGTTGTTGCTGTATCTGTAAATTGGCCACATTGGGTATGACTTTTTGTTGCAGAATGATTTGTGGTGGCACTGAAGAAAACATTACCCAAGCTCTGAGCAGTTGTGGGTCCAGCTAATAATTGCTGGGGTGGTTGTTGTTGTTGTTGCTGCTGCAACTGCTGCTGTTGTTGCTGTTGATTTAAACTACGAGGTCTAACAAAAACTATTTGTGATTGTTGTTGTTGATGCTGCTGTTGCTGTAGAATTTGTTGTTGTTGTGTGGGTAGAGTTTGCTGCTGTTGTGCTAAATTTTGTTGTTGTTGTTGTTGGGGTAAAATCTGTGTTTGTGTTAATGATTGTTGCTGTGTTAAAGTTTGCATTTGTTGTTGTGGTTGTTGTTGCTGCAAAGGCAACTGCTGCTGTTGTTGCAAAGGCGATTGTTGTAAATTACTTGTTGTTGATTCCATAGCAGTCATATTTCCGGCAAACGGTGAAGTTGTAGCTGTTGATGGTATCTCATGTTTGGGAGTGGTGGGTGTGCTTATGGATGTTGATGATGATGATGCTGATAATGCTATAGATGAGGAGGTAGTTGCGGTTGAACTAGTTGCAGTCTTAACATCTTTGGCGGCAGTTATTTGTACAGCAGCTGCTTGTAATTGTGACTTTATATTCGCAATACTTTGGGCAGCATCTAGAGAGGTGACGGAAGTAGATGATTCTGTGGCTTTATCTAATAAAGGATCATCATCGAAACCTAAAATGTTGGATAATGTCTGTTCAACTGTAGGCTGTGTGGGTTGTGGTGTATGAGTCGGTGTTAATTGTTGCTGCTGCTGTTGTTGTTGCTGTGTTGTGGTAGGTGTGATTAGTGGCGGTGGTGTGGGTTGTATAGGTTTTGTGGGATTATTCATGGCTGTGTTGCTGCTAGTATTTGCTGGCGCAGTTGCTGTTATCGGGGGCAATGATAATTTTGGTCTTTCTATCACTTTCAGCAATCTCGGATGATAAATATCACATGGTAATAGTTTCTTTTGTCTTAAACATTCCACCACCCAATCGGGTGTTACAATATTCATACTACCCTTGGGCAAAGCACTGGCTTTTGTATAAACAGGACCCATTGCCATGCCCGCTATTAGATGGGTATTATTACCACTAAAATTGGAAGTTACCTGGGCACCATGATAGGTTAACATGGCATATAAACGTTTACGATCACTGGGTGCTACATTAACTATGGCAGCGGAAATGTTTTTCATTAAACGTGCTTCACTGGGATCAAAGGCTTTGGTGGACGCCAAACGTCCCAATTTAGCACTATGTATAATCCATTGTTCGGTTACGGGTATTACCGTGTAGAGATCTAAATTCATAACCAGCTCTTCTTCGGTATAATTTGGAGCACAAATGAGATGGGTAACCAAATCCGAAAGGAAGATTTTCGATTGAGCACCTCCATTTTTAAGTAATTGCTCGACCTGTAGGTAATTAGGATGAAAAATATTAATATTAAATCTAAAAGTTGCTAAAAGGGTAATAGCTTGGCTTGGTATAAACGAAAAAATTTATATCGACAAATCTATATTACAACAAACTTAGCTTAAAAGAGTCTATTTTTTCGCGGTTTTTTATTTTTTTTACTTTATTATTGTTGTAAAAACTGACATCACCTTATAAATCACTCTTTGTTTTTATATTTTAATTGTATCTCAAACACCCTGTGTTTAAAAACAACAACAAAATAACACCCAAATGTCAACCTAATGTCATAATAAGCGCCTTTTCTTGTTCTTTGCCACAATTTTTTTTGTTTTTGCAATTTTCTTTCTTTTTTTCTTCTTTATCATGGAGAAATTTTATCCACAAAATACCAATAAAATATATACAACTTTCGAACTTACCTCCTCATCCAAATTGCCCACAACAAAATAACGTATATTTGCAAATAAATTATCACTTATTTTTAAGTTTTCCATGTTTTATAAACATTTAAGACAATTTTTCAACTTTTTTTCTTTGTTGTTGTCACTGAGCGTGTTTTTTTTTTTCTTCTTTTCTACTTCTGCCGCCGCCGGACAGTCAATCACACATAGAATAGAAAATTTTTCTTTTCTTACAAACTTATTTCACTGCCATACACTTATTATCACAATATTATGCAATTATTTTATTTTCCATATATGCACTGCACTTTTCTTTGTGTTTTAAAAGTATAAATTTATAATTTTAACATAATTAAATTATAGATTTTTTTAAGTAAAATTAAATTATGTTGAAAGAAAAAAAGAACGCCACACAGAAAAAAACTGTAAAATGGCGTGAAGTTGGCTGCAGCAGTGTGGTTAATAAACTATTTTTTGTTGTGAGTTTAAGCGATTTTGTTATTAATGTGGTTCTTTCCATTTGCTTTGAAATGGAGGTTTTTTAAAACGTGTAAAATTATTAATATTTATTATAAATCGAAGTATTTTTGATGTACAAAACAAAGTATGGATTTGGATTGTTTTTCCTTTTTGAACAAACCAAAGCATTTGCATGAATTTCTGTTTTAATAACATTTGTTGCTTAAGCATCTCAGTTCATAGATAACCTTTTTAATTATATATTTCAACATTATGAAAATGTTTAACTATTTTCAGTGATTCATTTCCCATGTGTTTATAAGATTTCACGATTTTAAAGCTATAACGTTAAGTAGACAAAGGTTTTATGTCTACTAATTTATTGTACAATGGAAACATTATTTTTTCACAATTTTAAATTAAGGATTAGAAATAAATTTGAATGTACGAATAAAAACGAAACGTTTTACACTTCAAATTTACAGAAAATCGAAAAAAACACTTCTTCTAATTTATTGCGTTTTGTTCTGTAGAAACATCTTATTAGCATCATTGTTTATCAAATATGGCACAATTATATGACAACTCTGTTTTCTGTTTATTTTCATATATAATAACTCTGTACAATGTTTAGAATGTAGATAGAAAACATAATATACAATTAAGTTTAGACACAAACCAACGAGTACTAAAAAACATAAATGGTAGGGTTCTAAGCAAAAGTATGAAATTTTTTAAAATTTGTATAATTAAATAAAAATTATTTAACTTTTTGTTGGAAAAAAGCTTTTTCTTACAAAATAGTCGATCTATCGACTTTGTTAGGAAAAAAGTCTATTCTTCGATTATTTTAAAGTAGATTTAGAGAACCCTAAGGGTTACCAATTTCCTGAGATTAAATCATATTTGTCATGTTTCTAGATTTAATTTTATAAAAAACGCAAAAAGTACCAGAGAATATAAAAGTACCAAAAAATATCACTTAATATCGGGGTTCCAAATAACACACCATTAGAATATTTAATGTTTCTAGATCTAAAAATTTTAATTAAAATCAAATTTCCCAAAATAAAAATCCCACTTATTTATCTCTCGGTTTCAGCTTTAAATTATTTAAAATCGTTTGAAAATTTAAAAATAACTGAAAACTTAACCGTTTTAAAGCAGATTGTAAGTCACCGCTGTTAATATTTGTCGGCACTGGCCTCTGGAATACAACCCTGGGCTTTTGATTTGACACTTTTGGCATAAACGTTTATTGATAAAGAAAAAATAACCTTTTCATTGTAAGCAGACGGAAAAATCTACAAAATTTTCAACATTTTTGTGAATTTATTCTGGAAAGAAACCTAAAGATTTTTACAAAATCTATAAAGAATATTACAATACAATATTGAATGTTACTTTATAAACAAGAATATATTTGTGATGCCTAGTTTTTGAGATAAAAAAACGAAAAATTGAAAAAAGAAAATTCCTTTGTCAGCCAGACAAAGACGTGTGTGTGTGTGCCGTACCACCACTCAATAATTCGTTGTTTGTTGAAGGTCGGGTGACGCGCTTAGCGGAGCATCCCTTGAGCCCAAAAATTGTTGCAAAGGAAGAATACTTTTTCCTTCCTGCTGTTGTTAACGTTTCCTAGCTTATCTGTGAACTGCACTTTATATGCCTAACGACGATATGTCAGGCAGTGAAGATGGTCAACTACGCAGTCCAGTCGGCGATGACCATATGTTAAGGTATGTATATTTTAACCATTTCGTACTTATGGACGATTGTTGCCTTCAAAAAATGTAAAAAACGAAAAACATAATCACATTGCAAATAATGTGCTAAAATCTAGTATCTATTATTTGTATACGTACATGCATACATACATATGTATGTGTGTGCGGGTTTGTGTACAAGTCTGAATGAAAACTTTATTTAATTGGCAAAATCGAAAATGTGCAACAATTTTCCATAATTTTGATTTTTTTTATGATTTATGAAAAAATGTTTTCTTGAATGCGTAAGAAATGTAAAGAGAAAAATTAAAATTTTTTTATATAAAAAAATGTATTGAGAAAAAAAATTACCAAAAAATTTATGTACATTTGCTTGAAAGATTTCTTTTTGTTGGTTCCAAAACAAATGCAAGTAAAAGATAGTTTATTGTTAAGTGACTTTAGAAAAGATTTTGAGGGTGTACATACTGATTTTTTACAAGTCATTAGAATATTGAGAGTATAAATGTTTAGGGAAATTTGCACTTTTATAATGTAAAGTTTTCTTTTTTTTACAATTATGAAATTTGCATAATAGTCACTATCTCACTAAAGAGCTAAAACTGTTAATAACTTCTAAAAAAATAAGTTTGATATAGAATTAATCCGAAAAACTAAAATATTTATTGCAAATTTTAAGGTTAAGTAAGGTTATGTGAAACAAACTATAATATTTATTGCAAACTTTAAAAATGTTAGGTTAATTTGTACAAATGTAAGGTTATGCTAAACAAGTCCTTTAAGAACATTGTACAGAGAGGGAGTCACGTATTCTTTTGACATCCATACACGACAATGGGCTTTAGTCTACCCGGGCCGGGACAATTGCATAAGATTTGAAGAACTGTGTTCACCTTTTCTTCGTTTTAGCATCTTCCACAAGAGTCAGAAAACAAAATTTTCATTTAAATTTTATGACATTTCAATTTTTCAATTCAAGTGATTTTGAAATTACTCTCTGAATAGGGATGCATTTAAGAATTTCGAAAAATTTTATGAATATGTATATTGTAGAAATTTCAAGAAAATCCAGCCAGATTCCTGCAGTGATAAAAACTTTTTAAATAGAACATATGGAATACTATTATTGGGAATGGCAAGCAATACCATCTTAAACAAATTTCTTAGAATCGCGACGGAAGCTCAATGATATACGAAAAAAGAGAATATTCACAGATATGTAGATGTAACTTTGATCAAAAGATGAATTTAGAAGAAAACGTGAAGCGTATTTGGCATGTTCATTCTAAAACCTTGAAAGGTTTCTCACTGGAACACAAAACCATTGAGGGTAACACAGGTCAACAAATGTTAAATCCTGATATCAAAATGGATTGAATAGATAGATAGATAGATAGATAGATAGATAGATAGATAGATAGATAGATAGATAGATAGATAGATATATAGATAGATAGATAGATAGATAGATAGATAGATAGATAGATAGATAGATAGATAGATAGATAGATAGATAGATAGATAGATAGATAGATAGATAGATAGATAGATAGATAGATAGATAGATAGATAGATAGATAGATAGATAGATAGATAGATAGATAGATAGATAGATAGATAGATAGATAGATAGATAGATAGATAGATAGATAGATAGATAGATAGATAGATAGATAGATAGATAGATAGATAGATAGATAGATAGATAGATAGATAGATAGATAGATAGATAGATAGATAGATAGATAGATAGATAGATAGATAGATAGATAGATAGATAGATAGATAGATAGATAGATAGATAGATAGATAGATAGATAGATAGATAGATAGATAGATAGATAGATAGATAGATAGATAGATAGATAGATAGATAGATAGATAGATAGATAGATAGATAGATAGATAGATAGATAGATAGATAGATAGATAGATAGATAGATAGATAGATAGATAGATAGATAGATAGATAGATAGATAGTAGATAGATAGATAGATAGATAGATAGATAGACAAATAGATGAAAAAAACAAAAACAAAGAAATTCAAATGACAGATTAAAATTAAGCGTCAGTTAATCTTTAAGAAAGGGACACTTTAGTATCTGAGTTATAATTTGTTGACCTGTGTAACTTCTAAATATAACACGATATAGGAATGTTGGATTGACCAGTACTTAGCAATAAACTACAATGATTTTTAAAGAAAAAACAAAGCATATTTATCTGTATAAAACACAACTTCAGTTTAACCTTATTTGCCTTAATACTAATAATCCTATCATATCATACTAATAAATAACCACATCCTAGTTATCCTCTCCCCCACCTCAAAACCCTAGAAATCACCTTTTTTTAATAATTGATTTACCATTTACAGTTTTCTTATAAATAATAACATTTATTAACAAATGATTATGATTTTTTTGTTTATTTTATAATTTAACACAAAAGAAATTTTCAAAAAAAAACACCATACCTATTTTTATCTGTGAACATGTTTAATTTACTTAAATTTTTTCATTGCAAATAGGCCAAAAAGTGTGTACATGTCCAATGACCGATGCGCGCGATGGCCACGACGTTACCTTATAAAACAAAACCTAATATACCTAAAATCAAAAATTAAAAAACCAAATAATAAGCTCTATAACTTAATAAAAAAAAAACAAACAATTATAAACACAAAACTGAAAGTTAAAAAGCCGGTAAAAATCTATTAAACAAAATCATGGCTCAACAAAACATCTGCCTACAAAAGAAACCTAAAGCAAAAAAAAAGCACCAAGCAAGCAGTTGGGTTTAAAAAGCTAGAAAAATGTAAACTACAAACTAGTTACTGCAAATAATAAAACTGTATATGCCAAAGGGGTCAGTCAGTCAGTCAACATCCTTTAATTGTTGAAGTTTGAAGCAGCAACAGATAAAACCTTAAAAGGTTTGTTTAATGGACAGAGACCAGTTAGACAAATGGATGTCTAAACTCTTTAAAAAGAGGCCATAAACAACCTCATCTACAACAATAATTAAAATTCCAACAAACATCTACAACAAATATAATAAAACTGTAGCATCCTAAACAAAAATTGTTATTGTTATATTTTCATCAATTTTGAAA